AGAGTAGAGTAGAGTAGAGTAGAGTAGAGTAGAGTAGAGTAGAGTAGAGTAGAATAGAACAGAGTTGGAAGGGACCTTGGAGGTCTTCTAGTCCAACCCCCTGCTTTGGCAGGAAACCCTACACCACTTCAGACAAAAGGTTATCTAATCTCTTCTTAAAAACTTTCAGTGTTGGAGCATTTACAACTTCTGGAGGCAAGTTGTTCCACTGAATAATTGTTCTAACTGTCAGGAACTTTCTCCTTAGTTCTAGTTTGGTTCTCTCCTTGATTAGTTTCCACCCATTGTTTCTTGTTCTACCCTCAGGTGCTTTGGAGAAAAGCTTGACTCCCTCATCATAGTGGCAGCCTCTGAGATATTGCAACTCTGTTATCATATCACGCCTAGTCCTTCTTTTCGTAAGACTAGACATATCCAGTTCCAGCAACAGTTCTTTATGTTTTGGCCTCCAGCCCCTTAATCATCTTTGTTGCTCCTCTCTGCACTCTTTCTAGAGTCTCAACATCTTTTTTACATCGTGGCGACCAAAATTGTATGCAATGTTCCAAGTGTGGCCTTACCAAAGCATTATAAAGTAGTATTATCTCATATATATGAGATGTTTTCTTTTGCAAGGATTTGTCATTTATTCAGAGTATTCATATTCAAAGCTTACAATATCATGGCTTACAATAATTAATATGGAGGCAGTATTTTCTGACAAGAATAGAACATAATTTATAAATGCTCAACAAAGTGTCTATTTTAGATTAAAACTTGATGTATCCCTTTCAAGATTCAGGGACTGTACTAACCTGGCTATCTGGAGAGCAATTCACAGCACTTTAGATTTTGCTAAATTTCAGCTTCCAATATCTTTGAAAATGCTGGCCAGGGTTCTGGCAACGAGAATACAAGAACATCTGCTTGAGGGTGTAGTACAAGGCTAGCAACAGCAACTACCATTTGCCTATTAAAATTATAGCAAAAATTATACTCTTAGTAGAATTTGAGTAAATTAAAATACTGTAAATTACAGTAACATTATCCTCCATGCAAAATGTTATGGGAAGGGAAATTCCCACTGCTAAGGAAACCTTCTTGCTAAACTACTGATAGAAAATATATACCTGTGAAATGAAAACTGGTCTTGGAGGGTCATTTAAAGCGGGGGTCCCCAGCCCCCGGGCTGTGGCCCACTATTGGGCGTTGAGCCTATCAGAACCTGGCCATGGAAGTGGCAGGTGAGCGTACGCATCCCCACTTATGTGAGCAGTGAGCAAGCTGTGTGCATACACGCTTGCCCGCCAAGCACAGAATCATCCCCTCCCCCCCCTCTGCTGGTCCGCAAAGCCGAAAACATTGGGGAACTCTGAGTTAAAGAATGGGGGGCGGGGTTGATAACAGGGGTGGGATCCTACCAGCATAACAACCGGTTTGCTGAGTGCACATGCACAGTACTTTTAAAACAACCTCTCCTGCAAGCTATAACCATCTCCTGCTGACACGCAGCACTCAGCTGTGCCGCACAAAGTAACTAAGGTTGCTTTAGTAGGGAATAAAGGGCAGCCTAGAGCCCAGGTGGGCAGGTAGGCCCAACCGAAGAAAAGAAGATCTTTGGAGCGACCCAATTTGGTGTCAGCTGCTCTTCAGAGCTACCGGTTCTAGAGAACCGGGCCGAACCGGTAGAATCCCACCCCTGGTTGATATGGAAGCTAGAGTCATTTGGAAGGTCAAATTATTGTATGTTTTTAATGTGAAATTCAGCATCTTGAAGTAATTCAGATACATGATAAAAGAGGCCAAGTTGTTTCACAATTAGCTTGAGGCAGCAGTAAGTATTCAGGGCAGTTCCTGAACTGATTCCCAGAAGAGTCCCTGGCACGATTTCCATCCAGAAGTGATTCATATACCAATCACGGAGCATCAAGCAAGGAAGGAGCACCATTCTTACTCTTTACTCTCTTTATGTATGAATGTAGATAGAAATAGCCATAGCTATTGTAGCCATCTACATAGCCATGTAGATAGAAATAGCCATAGCACTTAAGACTTATATACTGCTTCACAATGCTTTACAGCTCTCTTGAAGCAGTTTTACAGAGTCAACATATGTATGTATAGGTAGACCCTGATTTC